ATTAGATTATATATCATGATGTTTCCTTACCACTTGTCCCTGTCACATTTCCTCATTCCGTGCTTCTAGCTGTCTTTCTCAAACTCTAATGCAAATCTCTAACTCTATTTTTTTTTTCGTTAACACGCTCGTAATCCAACTTTCCCTGCTTTACATTCTCTCCCACACTTTTCACCCTGTCTACGTCACCGATTCACTCTAAACACAGTAATTGCTAACTCGGCCTCTTATTTCTTTTCCGGCGAGTAGCTCAATTCTGCACTCATGTGAACTCGTGTAGGTTTAATACTCTTCCAAAAAGAAGTAAAGAACAAAAACTTCCACACACAAAAAATTGAATTAGAAAAACACCGCACGCAAACGTTTTCTTCCGGGTGATTTTATACTTGTTCACACACCGTTCACCCCATTCTCATTTCGTTCCGAAAAGAATACATTAAGCACCCCCCACTCACCTCCCCCTCCCCATTCTTTTGCTCCTTGCAAGTTCCCCCCCCCCCCTTTTTTTTTCTAGACTAATACTCATTCAAAAAATTCGCCTCTACCAGCTTTGGTACGCACTTTATGCAAACCCAAATGGCTCATCGTTTTTGGATGTTACTTTTTATTTATTTATTTTCTTTGTGGGTTTTTTTGGTGTTTTTTTTAGAGGGGGGGGGGGTTCAAAACATAGGACTCTAGTCAGTTAAAGAGGCAAAGAAAAGGCAGCTCCCACCCACACATCATAATAGGCACCTCCCCCACCCCGCATACATACTTAACTCAAATACTCCCAAATCCCACACTTACTTCCATGTTTTACACACAACTCCCACCTACACCTCACTTACACATCCCACACCCTGCATACATACCCACACACCTCCAAATCCCACATTCACCTACAATTATCTCAAACGCACCTCCTACATACCCCACAACCGCGCACCCCACCTGCACTCTCACATTCTCGTCCAGCACCAACAATCCTCACACTCACAGCAACCTGCACCAGACATCCCCCATTCACACTACACATCCCACATGCACGTCAAACCCCACACCCACACCACACATCCCCACTGACACCACACACCGCACAAGCACGTCACACCCGACATTTACACCACACATCCCCCATTCACACTACAAATCCCACATGCAGCATTCCCTATTCCCGCACCCCTCATTCCTCCAAACCTAACAGCCCTCCGTGTTGCTCATAAACCTTGGCTATCTCGTACTTTCTCTCCTACATCTCGGCAATCCTCGTCCACATCTTCCATCAAGTCTCTTTGAACAAACATTTTCAGCATCCTCCTCCAAAAAAAAAAAAAAAAAAAAATTAAATTAAAGCAATAATAACTCTCCTCCCTGCCCCACCCCCGATCACCCGCCTAGTTACATGATGAGGAAAATGAGCAAGGATCTTTATGCGATTTGAGGAAATTATAAAGGATTATACTAGGTTGCATGTATATAGCAATAGGAACCGTCCAACTAAGATATAATTGATGAGAAACCATCAAATCAAACAGGTTTGACAGCTATAGATGAATCTGGCGTTTTTGGCAAAGTTGTAGGAATTTTTGCTTAGGCTGGGCCATTTTCTGGGCAGATTTGTAGTTGTAGAAAGTGCCCATAATTGTGAATGATTTGATCTGTCTTGATTAATTGCTCTGGGTACTGCAAAAATTGACATTACTTCTGAAATAATTAATGTCAACAAATAGCGGATGGGGCTTGAGGTCATATTATGTTGACCCAAAAAGGTTTCTTCCCAAGAAAGGTAAGAAAGTACAAGTTACAGTGTGTCCTGTAGTCAATAATTGTTAGTGTCGGTGTTTCATACACACATCGACAAAATTTAGATAGTTTAGGAGGCAGCCTTTGACCCTGCCTGTCAAGGCCAACCCGGGATGAAAGAGATACTTTTTTTTTGGGTATACATGTTTTACAGCGCTCGCACCAGCGTAAGGTCGTACGAACGCGTGGGACACATTAAACATTTTCAGTTGGTAGGACATTTTGAATTTTGCCTGGGTGGGCGCCGAAGCCTACTCTTATCGATTTTAGAACACTAAGGGATCTTTAACGTGCGCAACATGTACACGGGACCACCGAGATTTTTTCGCCCCTTTTCCCAG